GCGCGGGTGGTGAGGATAGTGTCGTAGACGCCGCCCTCTCTATTCTACAGCACTAGACACGGATATAACTGAGGGTGCGGGTGGTGAGGATAGTGTCGTAGATGCCACCCTCTCTATTCTGCCATCCTAGACGCGGATATAACTGAGGGTGCGGGTGGTGAGGATAGTGTCGTAGACGCCGCCCTCTCTATTCTACAGCACTAGACACGGATATAACTGAGGGTGCGGGTGGTGAGGATAGTGTCGTAGATGCCACCCTCTCTATTCTGCCATCCTAGACGCGGATATAACTGAGGGTGCGGGTGGTGAGGATAGTGTCGTAGATGCCACCCTCTCTATTCTGCCATCCTAGACGCGGATATAACTTAGGGTGCGGGTGGTGAGGATAGTGTCGTGGATGCCACCCTCTCTATTCTGCCGTCCTAGACGCAGATATAACTGAGGGTGCGGGTGGTGAGGGTAGTGTCACGGATGCCGCCCTCTCTATTCTGCCGCCCTCTCTATTCTGGCGCCCTAGGCAGTCGCCTCTATGGACGCGCCGGCCCTATATATATATAATCTTTTTTTTTTTTTCAAAATCTTTTGCATAAATCTGTTAATCAACCTCAGTCCTGTTCAAAATTACTAAATTGGTTTCGTAATAAAAAAATGTGGTTATAATGGAAGTAAATGGGGCAACAACAGCCACCAATAGTTAATTCGAAAGAAAAAAATAAAAATCTATTAAAAACAATGCATCAAAGGCAATGTTGTTTCACATGTCTAAGACTTTGATAAAAAAGTAAAAAAAAAAAAAAAAAAAAAAAAAACAGTCCTGAATTACTTTATATATTGAAAATACGTCATTTTTGTCTGTGTTTTTTATTTTACCAAATTAGTGACATCATTTGTGATCTTGGCAATTAGAGTTAAAATCCTTTAATTTTCTAAGCGATTTAGTAGTTTTAATCAGGACATGAAATTGAAAAAATATTTATCTGATGCATTTTTACAGCAGTCTAATTCAGTGGATGTTTTCATCCCGAACATAACGAAAGGATAGTAAATTTGCCCAGAGTGTATTGAGTTTTTTCAATTCAAAGCATTTTCTTTAAATATTTGTCAAAATACGATTTGTCACCAAATATCATTCCACCAGCTGAAATTAAGACTTAAAATCACCCCAGAGTGGATGAAAACATCCCCAACAAAACATAAGGGTTAAATTGATTCCTTAACTCCCACCAACTGCCGTGATTGAGTAATAGACATCAAAAACAGCACTTGCATTCTCACTTGAGCATGTTTAACGTCCTTCATTGGCTAATATAGATGTTGAGGTCTTATATCAAGCTCGTTTTGCTCCCAGTGTGACGTTACAATGAAAATGATTGACCCGTTGACTTTTTAATGTGCATGTAATATTTGCATATGCATATGAGCGTATATCAGGGCTCTTTGATCTGTGCGCTTGACCGAGGGGCGCTCGGGTCCCTGTGCAGCGTGATTTAAAAGTCTGGCTGGTGTGCTGACGTTCAGCCCTGGAGGTTCCTTGCGCTCTTAAATCTGCGCTCCAAAAGATGCTGATTCCCAACGAGAGGGTGACCGCATTAATTTTCCACTGATTTAATCACAGTGCTGCAAAAATGACCTGTGACTGGTGAGAGACTCTTCCTCCTCCTCACCGCCTCTGTGCATCTGAAAAGGCCACACTGAAAAAAATAATTCTGCAAAATTGTTGCAAACCATTGATATGGTTGAACTTAAACAAGCTAATTCAATTTAGTAATGTTCAACTTTATTTGTTTGTTTAGATTTAGCCCAAAACAATTGTTTAGAACCACTTACCTTAATAAAATACAGTAAATCCAACGAATCATCTTTGCAGCAAATCAAACAGCAAATCCTACACGTTTCTCTTTCTCCTCTCTCCTTTTTTTTTTTTTTTTTTTTTTTTGCAGTTTCTGTTTCTCATATCTCAGTCCTGTTCATTGGATTCTTGAGTCAGAAGTCTTTTTAATTAGTTTGGTTCTTTGTTTGTTTGTGCAGTGGTTGGTGTTTCAGGGATGATGGCTTTTTTTAATTTCTCACTTTTAAAGTATCATTGAAACCATTGAAGGACGTTTCTGTGATTTTGGATGAACTCTGTCGTCTTTTGTTCACCTGTCATTATTTCATTTCATTGATCTTTTTCTCCATCTGTTCCATTCATCTAATTATCCATACCATAGTCTTCTTTTGATCGTTCTTTCTATCTATAATACATAAATGAATCTTTTTTCTTATTTTTTGTTCATCTATCCAATCCACCCGTCTATTATTCTATACATTTGTCTATCCATCCGTCCACCCACATACCCACCCGCTCCATCCATCCATCCATCCATCCATCCATCCATCCATCCATCCATCTCTTTGTTATTCTTTCATTTTTTCCATCTGTCTGTCCATCCATACATCCATACATCCCTCCCTCCCTCCATCTCTGTTATTCTTTTGTTTTTTTCCATCCATCCATTATTCTGTCCACCCATCCATCTATCTTTCCATCTCTGTTATTCTTTTATTTTTTCCATCCATCTATCCATCATTCCATTCATACATCATGCATCTATTCATCTGTCATTCCACCTATCATCCATCCATATATCCATCCATCTCTTGTTATTCTTTCATTTTCTTCTGTCCTTCCATCTATCCATCCATCTATCTATCCATCCTTCCATCTCTGTTATTATTTTTTTTCCATCCATCTTTTTATTATTCCATTTATCCATCTGTCTAAACACCTTTCCATCTGTTCGTCATTCCATCTATTCCTCCGTCATTTCATTCATAAATTTGTTCAAACGTCATTTCATCCATCATTCCACCATTCCATTTATCCATCTGTCACTGCATCTATTCATCCGTCATTCCATCTATCCATCCATTCATCCATCATTTCCTCTATCCATTTAAATGTCCATCCTTCCCTATATCCATCCAAACGTCATTCCATCTATCCTTCCATCCTTTCGTCCATCCATTCGTCCATCCATCCGTCCATCCATCCGTTTATCCATCCATCAATTCATCCATCCATCCATCCATCCATCCATCCTTCCATCCATCCATCCATCCATCCATCCATCCATCCATCCGTCCGTCCATCCGTCCATCCATCCTTCATTCTTTAAATTTTGGCTCAGCACCCAAACACTACACTTTGCATTTTATAAGATGTTTTTGAAATGATATTTTCTTTTTGCCATGCCAAGTGACACAGATGTGGTTCTCCTTAACACAATGTGCTCCACACCTGCCTGGATGGTGTAAATTGACAGTGTAATATTTACAAAGCAACAGCAAATAGAATTAGCCTCTCACTTCCAGCGGCGAAACACGATTGTATTTAATTTACAGACTACAAAAGAGACAGAAGAAACACTGAGACGCCATCTGGAAGAAGACCATGTCTTGTTGCATGCTGAACTCATGTACACACCTGTTTTCATGGTTTTAAATCTATAAAGTGTACTTAATCTCTGCATCCTCATTATAATATTTGGATACTGAAATCAACTGAAATTAACATGTCAGAAATTGTGCAATCCCTGACAGCGAATCCTGAAAAGTATAGAAACCTATAGAAGAAAAAAAAAATCCTCTTTATTTCCCCCTGCAAACCTGCCACAGTGAAAAGTGTAAAGAAAGTCAGAGGAAACTCATAGTTCTTGTGGCAGAGCACACACTTTTCCCAGGCAGGCTGTTCAACAAAAGCATCCTTGTATAAGGGGGTGAACGCCTCCACTTCCCTCTCTCTCTCTCTCTCTCTTTCTCTCTCTCTCTCTCTCTCTCTCTCTTTCTCTCGATCCCCACTTTCATCCCTCTCTCTTCCAATCTCCCAGCTGACAACTGCAATCCCTTCATCTTCCATCTCTCCTCCTTTTCTCCTTCTCTCTCTCTTTCTCTCAAACTATCTCTCCCTCTCTGTCTTCTGCCTCAGGTCTTCTTTTGCAATCAGCACAGTACACACCTGTTTTTGTTTGGAGTGTCTCTTTTATTTTCCTCACGCTTGACAGAGTGCAGGGGCGAGGAGGGCAGGAAAGAATAGGGGAAAAGGAGGCATCTCGCCGGGCACGCAGGACAGATTCCTCTTTTATGAGGAGCGCTTGGTATTCGGGAAATAGCCCGGCCTTTAGAGCCCTCGTGATTCATAGCAGTGGGTGTCACGGCCCGCGGCGGACGCTCTCCACGACCGGTTTTTACAGAGCACGTCACTTTCTGCGCTTTAAAAGCGTCTTCGGCAGAGGAGATAAAAAGGTCACCGGTGTTTTAGCCGCCCTCTGAAGATCTAATTGTGCCACTGACTTTTGTCAGCATTTTGATATGAAAGCTTTTGAAAATGGCAGAACCCTACGAGTGTGAGATTTGTGAGAGGTGTGTGTGGTCTCTTTTATTCCCTGCCTGTATTGATTTGCCACCAGGAGAGTATTGAAGATGGTCTTTATTTTTAATTAAAGTTCACAAAGCCCATATTGAGAAGGCTAGCAGGCTTCTGACCCTAGCCTTTCTGTGCTAGGACCTGCATTTCCAAAAAAACTCATCGATGAGCTCAGTCGTGTTGAAATAACCTCTGATATTAGGATTTTATCATCATATTTTTCCCTATATCACATGCATGGTGGACTCCGGCTGAATGCCGTCACATGGGGGCACTGTTAGGCTGTGCATTGCAGAACAGCAAGCCGTACATCTCAAAATGGTCGATGCATGCAAACACACAGACACTCACGCTTTTCTCTCTTTCATCTCCTCCTCTTCACCCAGAAAACACATACATGGATTCAGGAGGCTTCTGAATGACACCATTTAGAAAGTGCTCTTTTATCAAGTGCCATAATGTATGGATTTAGTTCCCCTGCACTGGGGCCACTCACAGGGCGACTCTTAGTCAAACTGTTGTGCCACTTCACCTGATGACTGCGCTGTGTGTTATTTATTGCTGTTTAATGCTGTGGGTTTTCTTTGTCTGCCAGGCATACGGGATGTCCGTGCTGCCGCTGAACCTGATTAAAGGCACACGCAGCGTCCTGTATGAGCGGCTGGAGAACACAGAAGACACGGAGGAGGTGGAGCACCAGATAGACAAGCTCAAAGCCAAGGTCTCTGCTTGTGTGAACTGAATTCAGATCAGGGCTCTGCTCGCTTTGTTTAGGATGAGCCACTGTTTGTTGTTGTTCTCTATGGCAGTGGTGGGTCCAGAGACTAAATTGGTTGAAGGATCTTTAACTGAGACTGTACCAGTGATACAGATCATTATCTTCATATAAATAGAATATACTTATTATCATTAAAAAAAGAACATACAAAAAATTGAACATGATTCATTATGATTCACATACTAATTAACTGTTATTATAAAATCTTTCAGATCTTTTTACCCATCTGTCACCAAGATTGTAATTACTTAAAATAATAATATATTTAATAATATATTTGTTAAGCAAAGAACAGTATTTTAATAGTGTTTTAAAATGATTTGACACAGAAAGTTGGGCGACACTGTGGCTCAGTAGTAAGCACTGTCGCCTAACAGCAGGAAGGTCACTGGTTCGAGTCCCAGCTGGGTCAGTTGGCACTTCTGTGTGGAGTTTGCATGTTCTACCCGTGTTCGCATGGGTTTCCTCTTGGTGCTCCGGTTTTCCAGCGCAGTCCAAAGACATGCGCTATAGGTGAATTGAATAAACTAAATTGGCTGGAGTGTATGTGTGTGAATGAGTGTGTATTGATGTTTCCCAGTGCTGGGTTGCAGCTGAAAGGGCATCCACTGTGTAAAACTTATGTTGGATAAGCTGGCGGTTCATTCCTCTGTGGCGACCCCTGATGAATAAAGGGACTAAGCCAAAAGTAAATGAATGAATGAGGTAGATAGTTGTATTTCATGCACTTTCTATGTTTATAAAATGAATTAGGTCAATTTTACTTCAAATAATTATGGATTTGTTTGCTAATTTAATGTTTACACACCCCTTGAAGAATTTGTTTAAGTGTGAATAATTTGAACAAAATAAGAGAGATCATACTAAATGCATGTTATTTTTTATTTAGTACTGGTCCGAGTAAGATATTTGACATAAAGTATGTTTACATGTGATTCACTGCACACAAATCTAGCTGAAATTATCAGAATAACCCCTTGCAAAAGTTTACATACCCTTGGATTTCAATACTGTGTGTGGTTTCCAGATGATCTACAAGGGTTTTTTCTGCTTTGTGACGGTTGTTTATGAGTCTCTTGTTTGTTCTGAACAGTTAAACTGACTGCTGTTTTTCAGAAAAATCCACACACTATTGTCCAATCCAATCTCCTGCAGATTCTTATGTTTTCCAGCATCTTCTGCAGATTTGAACCCTTTCCAGCAGTGAGTGTATGATTGTGAGATCCATCTTTTCACACTGTGGATGATTGAGGGACTCAAACACAACTGTTAAAAAAGGTTTAAACCCTCACTGATGCTCTAGAAGGCAATACAAGGCATTAAGAGCTGGGATAATCCAAGTATTATATATATATATACATTTATTTTATTTTTTTCTTCAACAAAATAGGATGAAAATATCCATTTTCTTCTTGTTTAAAAGTTTTCAGCCCCCATGTAAACACATTTTATGTGTTTATTGTATTATCTCTCTTATTTTGCTCAAATTATTCACATTTAAACAGATTCTTCAATGGGTATGTAAACTTTTGAGCATGACTGTATATATATATATATATATATATATATATATATATATATATATATATATACATACATATAAATATATACCAGGACACTTGGATGAAAATAAATTAACAAAGTAAACCACTATATATTTACATTTTACTTTTAAGCTATATTACAATATAAAGTATTTGCTTTAAGTTCACAATATTACCAATATTTTGGACTTTGGGGGAAACTGGAGCACCCGGGAGAAACCCACGCGAACAAGGGGAGAACATGCATACTCCACTCAACAATGCCAACTGGCCCAGCTGGGATTCGAACCAGCGACCTTCTTGCTGTGAGACAACAGTGCTAACCATTGAGCCGCCCTGGCGCCTCTTGTATTATGATACTAAAATGAATAAACTTGACATGTTTTTTAGTCTGTATGGCCAGTTATACCAGTCTGGTTATTTATCATCCATCATCCACAAAAATAAACATAACTTTAAAAATGAATAGAAGAATATTATTATTTAATTGGGTTACCAATAGCAATAATGTAAACATACATAAAAAATTATTTGTGCAAGCTTCAGTTGTAAGTAATAATGTATCACTTGCCAAAAAAAGAATCTACCAAAATTCACAAGCCATTTCAAATTGAAACCATTTTTTGTATGTATTATTATGCATTCATTTATGTGTATGCTTTCTCCTCAGTGTGCTGATGGTCGTCCACTGTCTATGAGAGACCGGAGGAACCTCCAGGATCTTGAAGACAAGCTGCAGTTGCTGCATCGACGTGGACGTCACCTGGAGATCGCAGAGAGAAACTGCTGCAACAAAGTGGGCTCTGCTCTCCGTCCCATGAAGGTGTGTTTGAGTTTTACCTCTGAATTGCTTCAGTGACTTTCAGTGACTTCAACTCCTGAATGAAATTGACAATTGTGCTGCGTGTTTTGAACCACAGCTTTGAACCTCAGAGGTCATCCCAAAAGAAATCGAATTGTCTATGATCTTTTTCAGAATCACTTACAGCCCCAAATCAGAAAAAGTAGGGACAGTTTGGAAAAAGTAGTGATTTTTTTTTTACTTGCTTTGACCTGTATGTCATTGCAGACAATACAACAAACATTATTTAATGTGTTGCTCATGATTCTTTATTATTATATATTTTTTTTCGAAATAAAGGTATTTTGGTTCTTGCAACGCATTTAAAAAAAAAGGACAGGAGAAGTGTAGGGCCAGTAATCAGGTAAATTGGAAAAATAAAATGCAAAAATAGCTGGTTATGAATAAATATCAACATATGAGCAGCTGCATTTACACATCAGACTCAGCGTTCAGTCATTCAGTGTTCATCAAGTGCCGCTAGCGACGTCAAGGTCACGGATTTAATACTCAGTGAATGTGTGAACTAATAAAGTGTATTCTCTTAATGCAATAAAAACAGGCGTTTTAAATACAAATATGTAAATCCCAGCAATATTTGTGGAATTTACTTTAACAAGGTGACTCAGAATATTTAGATGAATTTTTTTCACAAATAAACTTCAATAGACTTTAAAAATTCCTTTAACTCCTACTTCGGATTAAACAGTAAATACTTCAAATCATAAACAGCTCTCTTCCCACACACTGAAGCAGCTGAATATCCAGAGGTGACAGTTCTTGCTAATGGAGTAAGAGTGGCATTCATTGGAGATTTGAACTAGTCGGATGATGCCAGATCCAGTTCAGCTCTTCATGAACAGCAATCCTCACCCTGTTGCAACATATTTTATCTGAAGTCATTCAAACACGGTGCAATTTCTCAAAAGTGTTCTAAATCATGAAGTAAAAATTGACCCTTTTTTCTTCCCTAATACATATTTCTGTTTTTTTTTTTTTTTGTAGATACTTTTTTCCTTTTGATATCATTTTTTTTTTTTTTTTTTTTTGCTAATGTTTACAAATAGCTATTTTGACAACATTAAACCTAGGTAACCTGGTAATGCAATCATTTATTAAAAGATGCAGGATTAATAAAGGATATAAATTTTGTGTTAATGTCATCTTTTTAAAGTAAAACAATTATTGAAGAAAAAAATTGTTGCTGAATGGTTATGTATTTAAAAATATATATATAAGGGGTCACTAACTTTATCAATTCTTTCCCTTTTTTTTATAATTTTACCGAAAAGTACCGTAAAGCTTCCCATCGTGTAACAGCAAAAATACAGAAATCAACTCTTAATAATATACAAGTAGCTTAAGAGTAATTAATCATCATTGTTGGACACTTATTTTATATAGTCCGATTTATGTTATATGAAATTAGTAATCATATTTTTTTCGCCATGAATTGTCAGAATTGTTTGGTATTTTTAGTAAATAAAGAGGACACACCAAAGGACAAAAAAAATTTATTTTATAGTGGTTGCAAAAAAAGTTAAACGTAAAATTTTGTGACAAAAAATGTAACAGTTACAGGTCATGGGCTTCACATGGAATTTCAGTCACATGATCTTGATATGGGGTCCTTTAACTAATTTTAGTTTTCTGTGAAATTTACAATTTAAAATTAGCATATACAGTAGCATAATTCACATCAGAGGACATCATTTTTAGTTGCCCCTTTTAGTCAAAATGTATAAAGTTCCTATGTTTTTTTTTTTTTTGAGAAATATGGATGAAAAAAATCAGTCAATCAATCAATTAATTAATTAAACAAGCAAACAAACAATCATCATCTTTATTTGGCTCCCTAAGAAGAATTTTTCTTGGCCAATCGAAAGTTTAGAGTGTACATTTAGTAACAAAAAAGCTATTCTTAATATATAAACAAAGACACTATACATTGAAAAAAAAATAAATAAAAAAGCCACTTGTAAAGTTAGGCCTGAGGTATTTATTAATGATTTTATGTTTATATATATATATATATATAAGGGCTATAATTCATTAAACTACGCTTGAGACAGTCACACTGTCAGAAAATTTTGAGATTTGTTTAAAAAATGTGGAAAAAAAATAAATAAATAAATAAAGAATAAATGTAAAAACCCAACAGAATTTAAAACGAGTGGTCTATGGATGACAAAGAAATGTTTAATTATTTACTGAAGTTTAAAGGTTCCATGAAAGTAAAAAGTTTATTTAGATGTTAGTGTCAGTATTATTATTTTTTAGCATATCTAGTGCACACCAAAGAGTGACAAAATGTAGCATTTAGAAAACTTGTAGTTTGCCGACCGAATGCACCAACATTTTTATGCACATCATCTCACACTACAGTTTCTTATCACATCATAACCAATCAAATGCGCTCAAGTATCTGACAAACCCCGCCCCAATTCAAGACTCTTTTCATTTGCTTTTCATTTGATGCTTTTGAGCTCAACCACTCTCACTTGCAGAGCTGTAATAAAACAAAACACTATTGGCTGTTTTTTTATTTAAAAGGAAGGAGCTACACAATGCCCCACCCTTTCTCAGTGTTTCAGTTGAGGTTACATCAAAAATTAAATAAATATGCACATTTCAAAACACTTCACCAGTCCTTTAAATGATGGCAATTAGGGTTCCCAAACGTCTTGAAAGTACTTGAGTTTCAGACATATCTATTCAAGGCCTGGAAGATACAAAAACAAAAATAGGTCCTTCGAAAGTGCTTGAATTAAAATGAAATGCTTGAAATGAAATAAGTTTATGGTGTCATTTCAACTGTGCTACTGTCAAAAAATCTACGAAAGGTTTGAAATTCTTAATTTAAAAATGTTAAATTGAAAACTTGTACAGCAATTGTGAAAAATAATGCACATTTGACCATATTTGAATATTACTAGTATTGAATTCAACACATTTTATTAAAGCTCTTTGAACAAGACTGCTTAAAAACTCAATTTTAGAGTGCACTCACACTAGTTATTTGCACATTCTTAATGTAAATATTAAATGTAAGTGAAATGTTAAATGCAGTAAGGACTTTCATAGCATTATATACTGTATTCTGGTGGCGCTTGATTTAAAATGAATGGTGCTTTAAAAAGTCCTTGAAAGTCCTTGAATCTGCTGTTCATGAAAGAGTGGGAACCCTGATTATATTCATTTTTGTCATGTGTGAAAATGCAACCTCACATCAACAACCCACATGCTATTCCATTTCAAAGATACTCACTGGTTTCGCAATAAAACTGATCTAGCTAGGTGTCAGTGTATCAACCATCAACATAAAGCAGCTGCGTTCTGATTATAAGGTTTATATAAGCCTAGACTGATAATACACTGCATAACTTAAAGGTTTATATAAGCTCAGACTGAAATATACTGCATCACTTGACATTTACATCTCCTTTATCCCTGATATTTTTTTTCCACCATCGTCATCTTCTGTGTTTTCGTCATCTCGTCTCTAATTAATTGTCCCATTATTGTCACTTTCCTATCTCACAAAGTCTATCAAGGGGGAGGTGTGAAGGAAATTAATTTTCATGGTGACTTTGATGTAACACGTACATTATGACTTCATTTGAATGCCAACACATATTCCCGAGAGAATGAAGAAAACCTTTGGGTTTTTATCATCTTGGCACAGATTTGCCAATTTGTGCTGCCACTTTGCCAGATGCATTATTTCACCTGTTTTATCCAGATAATGAAAGCCCAGTGTTTGGATTGAATGTATAATATTTTTGTTTATTCATTTGGCAGCTCTTTTTTTGGTATGTGTGATCAGTATGTGATTCATACATGTGACCTTTAAATTATTAAAGGGACGGTTCATTTAAAAATTACAATCTGCTGTTTTTAACTCACACTCACGCTGCTCAAGATGTAGATTACTTTTTTTTTTTTTTTACTAAAACATTAAAGAAGTTTATTTGAGAGTGAAAATGTTAACCATAAAGATCAGTTTCTTGCATAGACTGGTGAGGTTACTATTTATATAACCCTGATATATTGTCAGAGGCCAAGAATATTAATTGTTTTGTCTGTATATATTATTTTAATGCTTAAAAAGAGCTGGAAGCAGTTCATTTTATGAATCATTAATGACAGTTTCAGCTGAAAATTTATGAAAAAATGTAATTACCTCATTTCCACTGAGCAGTACCGTACAGTACAGTATGTTTGTAATGTAATGTAATGTAATGTGTATTTATATAGCGCATTTATTGTGTATGGCCTTACACCCAAAGCGCTTCACAAGCAAGAGGGGGGGTCTCTCCACACCACCACCAGTGTGCAGCATCCACTTGGATGATGCGACGGCAGCCACAGGACAACGGCGCCAGTGCGCTCACCACACACCAGCTATTGGTGGAGTGGAGAGACAGTGATAGAGCCAATTCGGTGGAAGGGGATGATTGGGAGGCCATGATTTTATGGGCCGATAGAGGGACTTTGGCCAGGACGCCGGGGTTACACCCCTGGTCTTTCACGAGAAGTGCCATGGGATTTTTAATGACCACAGAGAGTCAGGACCTCGGTTTAACGTGTCATCCGAAAGACGGCACCCACTGACAGTGTAGTGTCCCCTTCACTTTTACTGGGGCATTAGGACTCACATAGACCACAGGTTGAGCGCCCCCTGCTGGCCTCACTAAGACCACTTCCAACAGCAACCTAGTGTTCCCTAGTGGTCTCCCATCCAGGTACTAACCAGGCTCAGCCCTGCTTAGCTTCAGTGAGTAACCGGTCTTGGGCTGCAGGGTGATATGGCTGTGGTTTGTGTACATGTTGGTCTGATTAGAATTGCATTTTCACTATATTTACTTGGTTTTGCATGGTGTACACTTTATTGAACATATTATACACATAGACATCACCTATATACTGTACAGTGGTCCCTAGTTATTCACAGGAGTTACGCTCTAAAAATAACCCACACC